AGAAAGGAATGCTCTACCCCAGGGCCTGTGAAAGGCAGAGCAGCATGTACCCAATTCTGTGCAGTTGTGGAATCGGAAAGAACTGCAGGAGGTCAGCTAATCCAGTCCCTGGCTCTTAGGTGAATAACGCATTACATAACATAAGGCAGTGCATTGTTGCAGCTATTTTAAAACGCCTTTGGGGACAAACATTTCAGAGTCTTCCTTGAAAAGACGCAGAGACTCAAAACTAGCCATTTTAAAGCCCAAGACAGGATTCCTGAATATGTGCCAGTCTCCCAGCCTGTCCACATGTCTACAAACCTTGTTGGACAGTCATCTTCAGACCCCCAGCCCTGCAGCCTTAGCCTAGTCTTCACCACAATGACAGTAACTTATGACAATAGCTCATGCTGCAGCACTGAGGCCCAGGACTTACTGAGGCGTCAGCGAGAATCATACTCCGCCCAGATGGAGTAGGTACAAACGACACAGGACTAGGCTGGGAAATGGGAGAAGTCACTTTAGCTATTGGTAGTGTTCAAATCCGGATCTTCTCAATCAGAATCTAAGGCCTGTCCTTCACACCAGTCTTGCTTCCTTGTATCAACTACCATAGGGATGCAAAGATGAGTGAGATTCCCCCCCCAGGGGGTCATAAGCAAGCAACTTTGGGAGTTCAAGAAGGGGCTGTATTAAAATGGATGTTGAAATGCCTTGGTTCACATAAAACAAATATATCCTGAGATACACAGAGGTTGACAGAAAGGTAATGTTTAAGGTGCAAAGGGGCTTCAACATAAATGAGAGGCTTTTCTTACCAACTATCATGGTCTACTTCTAATTAATAAGGTTAAATCAGGAAGTCACTACATGATCATCTGAAAGGACTTTGATCACAGCACTCTCCTCTTCAAAAACTATCAATGCCTCCCTATTGCTTAAATGTCTCCAGGATGACATTGGTCCTTTCTATCTCTTATGGCACTCAGCACAATGTCTTACACAGCAAAGCCATTGAAATTTTGTTAACTTGGCAAAAGCCACAAAAGGCACAGTTCTAAATACATGCCCAATTTCTCTTTTTCCAGGGCTAATGAATATGTTTCTTAGCTCATTTTCCCTTTACCCATCTATAGTGTAATTAAAGTTCTTAAGTATCCATTGTACATGCTAAGCTTGGAGCTGAAGCTATGAAAATGAATACACTGCAATAGTGGACAGATCTTTCAACTTCCTGCCCACAGTGATAATTCCAAAAGCTTTGAATCCAAAAGCTTTGAATCCCAACACTTCTTGCTGCTTCTGAGTCTGGTTCCATCAGTAATCCTCTTTCAGATGTCTTTATCCTCTCCTTTTTTTTTATTGGATTCTTCCCTTAAACATTTTAAGTCTCTCCTTTTTTATAAAACGCCAAAATATTCTTAAATCCCTCATTCCCCTTCAGAGCTACCCTGTCTCTCCTCCCTTTTATTTATTTTTTTTTCTAAACATTTAGTTTAATGAGAAAGCCATTAGTAGAAAACTGGGTTTTAGAGCAATGAAAAGAAAGGAAGGGTTCAGTTTTGCATTAAAGAAGCATTACATTTTATTTTTCTCAGTTGTTTCTATGTTGAAGAATCAGTAAGTTTTATCATTATCTTCCTTGTTGGAAAAACCAAATTATCTGAAGCAACAAAAGTTGATTCTTACTGGTTTATGTGACAAACATACAGCCAGGTCCAAGGAAGACTTTCCTATGGCTTTTAAGAATTAAGAGTAATCCTCCCCCCTGCCCATCTTACTGCCATTTCTCCATTCCTTCATCTCTCAAGTTTTCTTATTTTCAGCCCAGTTTAACATAGTATTAATAATGTTAATTGGCCTTGATGAGGTAATGCACTCAGCTTTCTTGCTCAAGAAAAAGCCAAGGTTCAGGAAAGAGTTATCTTCTGCTTCAATTTCCTTCAAGTTCCTTCTGCTTCAATTTCCTCACCTTCCGCTGACTCCTTAACACTCTGACCTCTGATCTTGCCCTACTATTCCATAACAAAAGACCATCTGTTGGTCCTTCTATTACTAGCTGTTGGTAGCCTTTGAGCCTTTGCTTCCAGATGCCACGTTCCTAGCTTTCCCCTGGCTTCTCTGAACAGACTTTCTTAAACTCCTTGGTGGACTTTTTGTCCTTGGCCAATCCCTTGGACCTTGCTGCTCCTTCAAGCTCTCTCTGCAGCCTTCTCTTCTCATCACACACTCCTTGGGTGAGCTCACACCCTCTTGAAGTTTCATTTACCATCTTTTTCTGATGTCTCCCAGATATTTCTATCTAGCTCAGATCTCTCTTCTGAGGCCCAAACTTCTATACTTATCTGCTCATTTGACACCTTGAGGCAGATTTTCACAGACACTTCAAACTTGAAATCTGAACTCATCATCTTTTCTCATAAACTTTCTCCTTTTCCTATATTTTCTTACTCACTGAATGGCACAATATCCACTCTGCGGTTCAAATGAGAAACCTTAACGTCAATCCTAATTCCTCTCTCTTCCTCATTATCTGCATCCTATCAGTCACCAAGTTTAATTGACTTTAGCTCCTAAGTATTTTTGAACTCCATCTAATTTTTCCCATCTCAGCTTCCCTGCTGGTTTCTTACCCAGATTGACACAACAGCCCCATAACTAGTTTCTCTGGCTCTGGACTTGTCTTTCTCCAATCCATTCTCCACATTTGGACAGGATGATCTTCCTAAAGCACAAATCTGGGTCTGTCTTTCTCCTGCTTAAATCCCATCAGTGACTCCCTATTTTTATCAAGATAAACCTTGACATGGCTCCCTGCTCTGGCCTGTGTCCCCATCTAGCTGCATCTCTTGTTAATGCCTTCCCCAAGGTTTGTTCTCCAGCTGTGCCGATCCAGTCACGGTTCCCCAGATACCTCTAAACCTTTACACAAACTGCTTCCTTGGCCTAAAATGCATCTCCCTCCCCACGTCCCACCTCCCTACTTGGCTTTCCAAGTTCCTATTCTTTTTTCAGCTATCAACTTAGAAAGACTTTCCTGACCACTAGGCTGGACATAGGTCTCTTCTGTCCAGTTATAGAGCCCTCATCATAGTTCTTCCTTAAATCTGCACTGTCATTGCTTGCCTTCCTGTAGGTCATCCCTAATAGCTGGTTGGCTCCTGCAAGTCAGGATTCATGTCTTATGATCCTGGAATGTGGTAGGTTCTCAATACATAATTATTAAAAAAACAGAATAAAAGAATATTTAAATGCATATTTATTTAAAATTAAATGAATATATAAATGAGCATATACAAAGAATGTATAAATGAGTAAAGAAATGTAGATATATAGATATCCAAAATATCATGACATATATGATCTAATAGAGGTATAATTGATAACAACAGCAACCATAACAATAATATAGCTGACTTTTATTGAGTGCTTATTATGTGTTAGCATTAGTATATAATAAGTACTTTATGCTTATTAACTCAATTGATCTTTACAGTATTTCTAGAAGGTAGGGATTAGTTCAAGGTGCTGGGAGTGTACAGAAGAGGGAAGAGTTAATTCTGCTGGTAGGGAGAGGGGAGTTATTAGAGCTTCAGAGAGGAAGTGGCCTCTGGGTGGGTAGTAGTGAAGGCCGTGGTGATGGGCAGAGGTTGGAACTCTCTGGAGGAAAAGAGAGGGAGAGACGTGGGGGAGAAGACCTGGTGGGAAGACTGAGAAGGAATGGTAAGAGGTCTAAGAAAAACGGGAAGTGGCACTAGGAAAACCAGGAAGAGAGAGAGAACCAAGAAGGGAGAGTGTTAAATGTCGTAGTGATGTCAAGTGGTAAAAGAAACTATGGGATCTGGCATCTCAGGGGTCTTGGGTGCCCTTTGGTGACAGGGATTCCAGTGGACTCACTCATGTTGAAGCAGATTAGGGAAGGAACGTAGGAGAAGAAATGTAGAGAATGACACAGAATCCTCGTACAGAAAGTTGGCAGAGAAGGAAAGGAGAGAAAAGGAAAAGGCAGGCAGGGTCAAGGGGAGATTTTTTTTTTCTTTTTCTGGACAGGAGTTAACCTGAACGTGTTTTTGTTTTGTTGTTGATTTTTGACCGAAGAGGAGACCGCAGTTGAAGAAAGATTGAAGGCAAAGGGAGATCAAAAAAGGCAAGAAAGACTGGGAAGAATAAGAAAGGTGGAAGGATGACTCTGGGGAAGAGGGCAGGTGTTCACCTGGTTGGTGGGAGGGTGGGTGAATCACTGACAAAGGGACACAACAGGAGGAATTCTCCTGTGATGGCCTCTACCGTCCCTGTGAAATATGGCATCATAATTAAGATCCTAAATCCCAGTCACTCAGGCCTTCAATAAAAGAAGAGTGAGGAAAAAAGAAGAGTTTTTCTTTAAAAGTCATAGCGATTGCATACATGATACTGAATAAACAGGAGACTAGATAGGAAAGACAGATGTAGAAGAATCAGCCATACCTAGTAGCTCCTTTGAATGAATCTAGGGAGCCAGATGGAAGCAAACAATTCATGCAGTTAAGGTACATCTGTGCTCAGTAAATTAGACCATAGGCTCCACAAAAGCAGGATACGAGTCTGTCATGTCCACTGTTACATCCCCAGCACCTAATTCAATGCCTAGCCCATAGCAGGTACTCAATTAATAGTTTGTTAGATGAATGAATAAAAATTCACACATGTAAGAGTTTTTGTTTAGCTACTTTCAGCAAAGTAAAAAACAGAGACTGCCTCATGGGCATGTGACCTGTGCCATTTCACAGGGCCCCATGCTCAGGAGGGCCCCTGCTTGGTTTAACACTTTGCAGTCATTGTTTTGAAATTCTCAATAATACGAACAAGAGGCACCCAGTTTTCATTTTGCACTGGCCCCCACATATTAGGTAGTGAGTAATTAATAAAAACAATACCATACATATCTATAAAATGTCACTAAGTGGATATTTTAGATACATATGAATATCAAAGTGTCCATAGAAATTTATCTTATTAAAAATATATTTAAGGCTTACCTGAAATACTGGATCGTGGTTTTTCTTTCTTAAAATATGCTTCATACTCTCTGTAGACAATTTTCTTAAAGGAAGTTGCAAAAGCATTCAAACTGGAAATAAAATCAAAAAATTAATTTGAAAGGTATATTTAACATCTATTTCCCACACTACAAAAAAGTAGGTCTTTCATATTTTTAGACTTCTGGTAGAATGCCAGTATTTTTATTATATTTCAGAAACCCAAAGTTTTATAAATATGATCAATAATTGAAGCTATCAAAATAATCATTGGTCTCTTCAGGAATATTCTATTGTGCTAACTATTCTTTCACAAGTTAGGCTGCCCTATTACTGTTTCTCAGGATCAATTTCCTAAAAGGAACCCAAGATTATAGTGTGAACCCAAACTTTTGGTTTAGATTTTAATTGAGTAAAAATATGATAGACTTCTTCATGAATAAATGTGTGAGCTGTTTTTTAACTGATCAGTCAAATGTAGTTTTAATTTATGGGGGAACATTGTAAACAAGTATCAACATGGTGGACTTTATTTCTAGCTGAGGGGACAGAGATAAATGGGGTAAAAAGAGAAGCTAATGGGGTAAAAGCTTTGGGATTCATATTAGAAAAAAAAAAAAAAACAAGTGAAAAAACTGACTTGGAAAGATTAAGTACTTGTCGAAGGAGATACAGTTGATAAATGGGGGAACCAAGATTCAACAAGGTAAAACCACTGCCTTCATGGTAAGGAAATCCAGAGACAGCAGGCAGCAGGACGAGTGGTGGGAGAGCTTTCTGCTCTCTTTCTTCTGTGCCTCTAAAGATTCAAAGATCCTTTGAATCAAGGATCATTCCTATCCTTGATTCAAAGACAAGGGTAAAAGGGAAGAGAATTGGGGGAAAGTATCCTACCAATATCTAAATCAGTTGACCACACTGGCTGTTCTGCTTCCTAATGCAGAGAGTGTGGCCCAGTCATAATCAGGGCATATCAGAGTGGTAGATCACCCACATTTGCCATGACTTCTCTGTAGCACAGTGGCTGTGGCCACAGGCTGTGGATTCAGCATCTGGGTTTGAATCCTGTATCTATTATTACCTGCATAACTTTGAAAAGTTTACATAGTCCATTTATGGCTCAGTTTCTATGACTGTAAGATAGAAATCATAGTAAAATCTCCCTCACTGAATTGTTGTATTAAATAAATTAATACGTACAAAGTGTTTAGAGCTGGCACATTATAAATACTCAATACATGTTAGCTAGTAATATTACTTTCAAAATGTAATAGAAGTTGGTCTTTAGCCTCCAGGTTTTCCCAGCGAGCAAAAAAAAAAAAAAACCCTATAATTCTAGTAATGTTCATAAGGTAATAGGTGGGATACAAGAACTGTGTTAATATTTGTGGGCAGAATTAAAGGAGGCATGAGTTAGTACTTTTAGAATGGCTACATATTAAAGGCAGGGACTCTCAGTCACTGGAAGCATTCAAGCAGAAATTAGACTACTACTTAGGAAGAGTATTGGTGCTAAGGGTATGGGAAAAAGTAGGAGGTTAAAACATGAAAGTTGAAAATGAATCAAATGACTTCTTAGAGTTCTTAGTACCCAAGAATCCTAGGATTCTACATGATAGTGTCCCTGATGGTAAATTCCATTTTAATCTACTTTTTAAAATTATAATACAAAAGTAATTTTCCTCTCCTGCTCCAGATCTTTAAGGAAAGATGTTAAATAAAATCTTTACTAAGAAAAAACAATCTGTTATGTGGAGTAATTTTAATAGAGTTATGTTTCCTAATATGTTTTACTGTGTATATTGTATATTCATACTGAGGTATGTGTATTTGACCTAAACAATTCCCATTGGAAAATAATATATCTGAATAGAAAATTAAAGATGATATGAATTCAAACAATATGCATGAGAAAGTTTCCATTTATGAGCACTATTTAAAGAATTTTTTCATAAAAACAAAATTATACAAAGCTAGAACCCTAGAGGGAATATATATATATATTTATATTTTAAATCTGATCATATATACATGTGAATGATTGAACAAGTTTCCTTAAGGAAATTTTCAAAAGCATTTACCCTAGACCTGGAGCAAGAATAATAGATATATTTTACCTTCAAAAGGCATTGTCCTGCTAATATTAAAGGAAATAAGTGGACAGATCTCTGCTTTGTGCTAAAATACACTTTGGCAAAGTATGGAGTTGTCTATGTTGATATCCCTGTAGTGAGTATCATTGAGCTCTAGGGGCAGCATAAGTTAGAACAAGTTCTTAGTTTAAGCAGCCAGATACACAGATTAGATTTTTCATATGACAGTACTACAGAGAAATGACATGATTTGAAGTTCAACAATATTGAAAGCTTCCCTGGGCTATCTTTCTATGGTTTTGACTCAATAACTAATATTGGAGGAGTGACCCTTCCTAGAATCTTGGAAAGTCAGCCACAGAATGAGGGGACCTGTTAACCAGTCGTGGCTCCCTGTGGATTCACCATGTAAGTCAGACCTTTGTCCTCTGTGGTTTTGCCTCCAGCATTCTGCACGCCATTGTCAGTGTTAACCACAGAAGAGAGAAAAACTCCCAAGCATGAAGATAGCATGCTAAGGAAAGTCAGCAACCAAGTTCATGTTCTTTCCATGAACAGGCAAGATTAATGTTGGAAAGACTGTTATTTTCCTTGAGGTTTTAGTTTATGACAGTTCCCTAAGAACGTGGGAGTGACCTAGATTATGACCTTCAAATACAATATTTAAAATGATTAATTTTGAAAAGGAGGTATTTCTTATTATTATAAAATCGACATGGTACGTAATGTCCTCCAAAATAACCCAGTTACAATGAAAATTTTTAAAAAGGTTAATGCCATTCACTGAAAGGTCTCAAAATATTACATTATTTCTTGGCAGATCACTTGTTTTTGTAATTATAAAAGAGGAACACATCTTTCACAATCACTTAAACTGTGATGTTAAGTTAAAAAAAATTGGTTCCCCCAGGGGGGGGTTTTCCCCTTGAAATTTTAAAATTTTATTTACTTGGAAAATTGGGTTTTTTATTTTGGTTAATTTTTGGGATGTCTTATTTTTAAACTTTCAATTAGAAAAAAATAGTTTGCAACTCAAAAATAGAGTTTTGTATGACTTAGACCTTATCTTAGTTACATATGCCTTTTAATAGAACTTACCACAATAGCCAGCGTAAACCATATATAAACCATCCCAGGAAGTGATGAAGAGTGAGAAAAAAATGAAGAGTCACATTCAATAGCATAAGTAAGTCAAGTATGAAGCAGAAAAAAAGATGAAAGTACAAAAGCGTTATACTTCCATGAACTGATGATATTTTGAAAGTCATTTGTAAGAAAGCAACAAAATTATATGGCAATAGTTATTCAGTTATCTGCTTCTAATAAAGCACAACAAAAATATATGGCAATAGTTATTCAGTTATCTGCTTCTAATAAAGCACAATAAAATTATATGGCAATAGTTATTCAGTTATCTCCTTGTAATAAAGCACAATAAAGCACGTCTTTAATTGTAGAAGGTAAAACTATGTGGACAATGAATAAATAATATGTAACTAGAAGGTCCATAAAAATACTAGACTACTAAAAGTCTGGATGAGGAGTTTGCAGGAAGGGCTGACAAGGGAGTTTAGTGCCTGGTACTTTTGAATCAATCAATATATTAAACCAACAATCAAGAGTACTAACAAAACTGCATTGAAAACAAACTCTTGAAAAGAAAGTGCCCAACAATCAAATTGAATGTTTTCTATATACCTCAGGATAATAAACTATATCACTGGAGGCAAAATTAGCATCCACCAAGTTTACATCATTCATTATACTCTCCTATTAGTTGCATTTAATTAACTGAAATGAAAAGAAAAAAAAATGCACAAAATTGCAAAGGGATTGTTCTCTAGGAGAAATAGCTTATCCTCTTTAGAGAAGCCCACCCGGACACCACACCTGAGGTACCTTAGGTTTGTGGGCTCAGGGCGGTAGCTCCAGCGGACGTGCTCAGCGGCCACGTAGAACTGCCTCAGCTGCGCTGCCTCGGCCCCTGGGCTCCCCCAGCCTGCCCAGCTGGGGCCCAGGACCAGCAGGGCCCACAGGGGTGGGCAGCCTGCGAACATGGTCCTTTTCCTGCTGCTGTGGCTACCACGGCCCCAGGACCTGGGCAGGGCTGGCCGGGCGCTGCCTGTCTGCGCGGGACGGCTGCAGTGAGCTCCCGAGGCTGCGGGTGGCAGCGTCCTCCTCCCCGCGGCTCCTGCAGACTCGGCGGCGGCCGCTCTCCCCCTCCCTGCTTCCCGGGGCTTTTCCGGGTAGGGGCTTGGTGAGGTCACTGTTCCCGTGAGATATTAGGGAGAGTAGCTGGATTAGTGACTGTTTTACTACAGGTGAAGACAGGGCAGAGATCAGAGGCTCTAACAGGTGGGGACAATGCCCAGGTGAGCCACCAGATAAACCTGCGTTCTTCCATTTGCACTGGCCGACACCCCTGGAGCAGTAGCCCCTAACCGCCCACCGTAAAGCCCGCCTGGGTCAAAGTGCACACTTGCCAGACTCTGCGCACTCCCAGCGCAGTGCATCCCAATGCCCTTAGCCAGACGGCTCTCCCGATCTGCGGAGCAGGGAATCGTGTCCTGCCGCTGGGCACGGAAACACTGTATTTGGTGGTGAAGAAGCAAGGGACTCGCACATGAGCAGGCCTACTGCTCTGACGCACTTTCCTGGCTTTTACCAGGGCACACTTCGGTCTTGGTAAGAGCCTGTCACCAGCTACACAGCAGCATAGCAGAGGGCTTAAAAGAGCTTGACTGAGAAAATCAGACATATGGATTTCAGTTCCACTTGCTAGCTGTTGTCTTGGGCAAGTTACTCTACCTCTGGAGTCAGTTTTGACAGCGGCAAAATAGGCATGATAATAGTTTTTCCTGATAGGTCTGTGGTGAGGATAATAGGATACTGTAACCGTATGATTCCCAGCACTTAGAGAGCACCCAGCACATATTCCTCACTATGATTATATTTTCCTGCCTCCAGGGCCTCTTATATTTCTTGGAGGAGCCGGCCAGTTTTACACTGTCTTAAGTCTTACTCCACTGTTGATAGAGGATCTGAGAATTACATTATCTGAAGCACCACTGTGACTTGTCCCGGGTTCCCTGCATCTGCATGTCTCCTAGCTTCTTCTTCCAATGCTTTCTGCATTGGATACACTCCGTAGATTGTAATCTGGCACCTCACATGAGGTCTCCACTACCACTACCAGACTCATCAACAGCCTCTCCGTGCACCCCCCACCCCCCAATCTTCTGTCTCTGTTCCTTTGCTGATATGATTCTACCAATTTAGAATGCTCATCCTCTTCCTCTTCGGTTGGCCATTCTTTTACATTCCAGAGTTTTACCTATCTCCATGATTCTGGGCTCAAATGGACATTTCCATTTTATGATCTCTTACAATGCTATTCAAATTATATGTATTCATGTTGATTATTATTTATTATTCTGTGTGCGTGTCTATTATCTCCCTAACTAGAACATAAGCTATTCCAGAGCAGGAACAGTGCCTCATACGTCTGTATTTACAGTACCAGTGGTTCCCACAGTTGGTAGATGATCAGCATTCCCTGGGGAGCTTTCACAAAATTCAGATTCTGACTCGGGAGACAAGGTTGGGAACCGCTGTCCTAGAATACCTAGCCTAGTGAGTGACATATCATGAGCATCGGAGATGCCATCGGCAGTGTGATCAGAGAAACTTTTGAAAAGCAGTGTTCCTAAACCCCAAGGCTACTACCAAAATTCTTGCAAAATTATTCTAAGCTTTAGTTAGGCTGCTTTATCATTTTTATTTGCACGTTTGTGTGTCTAGTCTATATGACATATTCTGTGCATTACATTTCACAGGGACAAGATAACTATATTTTGGTGCCCCTCTAATTTTTGGACCAGTTTCTGGCAAGCACTGTGTAACTTTCAGTAACCTATTTTTTAAACATGAGATTTAAAGAACATGTAAAACATATCTGTTCTTCTCTGTAGAACATGAAAGTGATGAAGGGTTTTTTTGCTTCTCTGAGTTTTCTCTTGGGGTGGGGGTTGTGTAACGTGTATTTGCAGACCGATTGAAGGGTTGAGCTGTAATTGGGACAAGTGTGATTGTGTATTACATTGATGGTAAACAACATGATGTATACAGACCTTATTAAATAAAACATCAAATAGAGGAACATGGCATTTGGGGAGAATCCTTTTAATTATACATATGAAAATTAGTCTTTGTGTCCTTTGAGGGGGAGTGACAGGTGACAGGAAGATCTACAGTGACAAGTGGCCTCCTGTCTTGATTCTTGTCTTCTGAAGCCTCTGCTGCCATTCAGAGGCCTTTCTGGAAGCCTCAGAAACAGCAACCATTGGAAACCCCAGAAGATTCTACAGGAATTCCCTCAAATTAGAGATGTCACCTGTCTTCCAACAACGTAAAGAAAGCCTTCTTTCAACACAAAAATAAAGAGGTATTTTTATTTCTCCAGGGTCCAGTCTTCTTGTGAGTCAGATGCTCCAGTCTCTTTGGGAACTGGTATTTCAAGTGACAGCCACGTCAGAACCCACAGGCCACTGTGGAAACATCTGCTCCTGGCTCCTGTGGCTTGCGTTGGAGGAAGAGGAGAGGTGGAGCAGGAAGGGGTGGTGGGTGGAGAGTTTGGGACTGTGGGACAACCCTTCTGCTCTGGTCCAGAGCTAATCTAAGGAAATTCCATGTCCTTTATTCACAAGTATTTATTGAAAACTGTAGCAAATGCACTACAGATAAGTCAAGTCTAGCAGGAAGCTTGATGTTCACAAACAAGATTCTGTGGAGGTTGTCGAATGAGGTGACCAGGAGAAGGTGGGATCTCTGAAAATGAGACAAGAGAAATTTAAATAATTATCTTTTCCTTTAAAAAATTGGAGAAAGAAATTTCTCATCCTATCTATCCTCTAAAGTTCAATATAATCTTCTCTTTCTAGATTCCAGATATTCTGCCATCCAGGCTACTTTTTGCAGGAAACTGCACTACTCCCTGAGTTTTTTGGGAGAGAGATAGTATCAGATTATTTTTGTTTCCCCAGTAGGTAGCACAGGGGATTGACTCCATAAAAGTTTGTAAAATTTTTCTAGCAGTCCTGACTCCTTCTCAGGTAAGGCCACATTGTCAATAGCACCGAGCAGCCAATAATGGGAGTGTCACACATTCTGAGCTAAGTTAAGTCTTGCTAGAACATTTCTGTCCTGGAGGAAATGAGAATCCTTACATGAACTCTCTGTTTATTGTCACCTCATTCTATTGTCACTTCTCTATTGTCATACCTGTCTTTCATTAACACAATTTCCTTCATGGCCTGAAAATTTAATACATGCTGAAAATTTAATACATTATTCTATAAAGAAAAGTCAAGCTCTACATTCTTCCTTCTTCCTCTACTGAGCTATTTCCTTCAAAACGTTGTCATAGGTAACTTACCCTAAGGACTTGGGTCAAATGCAGCATTCGTAAAAACTCCGTACGTTCCCAGGTGGCTAAAGAATAGAAATACAAGGATGACCTGCCACATAGTGGTCAGTCCTCAACAACACAGTCCAGCACATAGTATCTCCAGAAACCATGGATTCCCACCCCACCACTTGGATTCTGCTTTAAAAAGGAAAGAAAAATAAATACCAAAAGAAATATTTGAAATCTCACTTAACATCTCTGGGTAATTTGCATTGTATTTTATACCCACATAAGTTATGGTTGTTGCTTTATGTACTGAATACCGGCTCTACCCTCTAAGGGGCTGTGGCTTCTTCTTGGTGAGAAGAAATAATTTCAAAATTCTCAGCCTTGATACTTGATAAGCGAGCAGTAGTTTTCCAAGGGGGCAGTATGCCCCCTAGAGGCACTTTTAAAAATTTCTGTAACGGGCAGGTGTCCCAGGTGCTGGATGTCCAAATAGGCTTAGGACACAAAAGAATTGTCCCACACCCCACATCCTTTGGAATGTTCGCTCAATATTCATATATTCATATAGGTTAAAAATCTCTGGGCCTGGAAGTCAACTGCTTTATGTATAAAGTGGGTTTTGCATCTTTTAAAATGCAATTACCATATGAATGGAGGGAAGATTATAATAGGTTTTACAATTCTTTATCAGAGTCGTTCATCATATTGAAAAATCAGGTTGGTGTTGGCAACACTTAAGATGCTCTCTGGGTCTCTAATACAATATTGTCCCATCAGCCTGCTGCATGGCTATTGCCTGCATAGCGATTCTACTGGAAGGTAAAAGCTTCTCATGACCTCATCTCTTCTGCTAGTGTAGCACCTAGGCTCTAGGATTTTGTTTTTATTATAAATCACTTTCCCTTTTATTTCTACTTTATATTATAACTAGGGAATTTGTTGATTTTTAAAACATTATGTATGTATGTATGTTAGGATATGTATGTATGTATGTTATGTATGTATGTTGGGATATATTATGTGTATATTTTACTTCAGAATAGAAAAGAGGATATTGCAAAAGACTTATAAAAAGGAGGCGGGCATTGTGCATGATCATTCAGACATAGAGTGAATTAGAAAGTCAAACAAAATTTATTCATTGATAAAACATGTTTATCTTACCTTTGAGAGTTCAACGGGCATTTCCCATCTTCTGACAAAAAGCAAGAAAATATGAATAATTAATTTAAAAGAAAAAAACAAGGTAAAGGAGAGGGTCATTAATGATAGAAATTATTGGTAGAAGTCAGCAGACTGAGTTTCAGATAGGCTCATTATAAGAGGTGTATTGGGAACAATCTCTCCCTGAAAGGTAGGACCTGTTTTAGGCTAAATTAAACATTTGAAAATATTTATCTCCAGAGTTGTCTTATTTTCTTCCTCCTCCATTTCAGTTAAGAAAAAAAAACATCCCTGGTCCCCACTTTCAGCCTCTTGGAGATTTTACGTCTATATCTGTATCTATATGTCTGTCTGTCTGTCTATCTATCTGATTGTTTCGTTGTTGTTCAGAATCTTGCAGTGCAGTTCTTTGGTCCCCGAGGGCTTCTGTTGCTGTGTCCTGTGTCATGCTCCCTGAGGTGTCAGGTGGACAGACTAATGGCACAAACAACTGCACACCAATACAACAGTGGATGTTTTTCCTCTTAGGGAACATATGTGATTGGGCATCTCCTATCTTAATCCAAACAAAAGACTCTGATAGTTGAATCTTCTGACATGGCTCTAGCATTTCCATCTTCTTTGGCCATAGAATACTGGGAAGTCTGAAATCAAATTGGGA